TCCAAAAACATAAACAGAAGTGAAATTCCGAAGGAGTCTAGGATCCCACAGAGTCCCATTCCCGCCACTGCCCACAGCCCCAGAAGACAGATCCCCTTAGATCTCTAGATCATTCTAGTGGTTCGGTGTTCGCGTTCAACATACTTTTTTTTTTCAAGTGCCAATCCGCTGAGACTGTTACACAAAAAGCAACGAAAAGCTACAGAGAGACACAGAGATTGATTGATTGATTGATTGATTGATTGTTGATTGTTTTCATATTTTTTGTTTGCGTGAAGGCGAAAGAGAGAACCAAAAGAGAGAACGCGGCAAGCCAAAGTGCTAAAAAATAAAAAAAACAAAGGAAATATTGTGCAATATTACGAGATATTATTCCCCCAACCACAACAAATGCTGGAAAAATCTCAATATTATATGTAGACCCTAAGAAAGCCCTCTGCACCAATCCAGTGATCCAAGTAGATTGAAAAAGAGCAAACGAAAGAATCCCGTGATTCAAAACTGAAAACCCAGAACCAGAAATCCAGCAACAGAAACCGAAAAAGAAACCGTATCAAATACGCGTATTCCCCAAAAAAATAAAAAAAAAACGCGAGCAACTTGCAACAGAAACTCAGAAGCAACAACAGAAACAAAAACAGAAGCCAGAAGACAAGTGAAAGTGAAAGTGCAGGCAGCCAGCCAGCCAGCCAGGAGTGGAGCGAGGACTCGAAGAAAGGGTTGCGCCCGCCCAAGCTGCAGCTGGGCACGTGGAGACAATGCCCAATGCAGGTGTCCTGCTGCCACCAAAACACACACAACACACAAGAACGTAAGTGATTTCTATCTCTGTCTGTAAAGATTTCCCCTGGATTCCTCGATGCAGTACCGTTTCCGCATTTATTCGTGTGGGGCATTATCGTTTATCGAGCAGCCTCGATCAACATTAATCGAATTTCGATTTGTATGATATATCCTCCTTGTACGCTGCCAAACAAAAGAAAAAGTCAAAGTCCAAGTCGTTCCACATAATAAAACGCAATTAACGCAATTCGTTTCCAAATATTCATCAAGCATCAATCCAAATTTTACTGAGTAGAAATTCTTTGGAATTCTTCTCGGTTTGATTGGTTCTTGCTTTGGGGATTGTTTGGAATTTGATGTAAAATTTCGTAAGAACAAAAACAACACCACACCAATATTCAGCACAAGTTTTGTTCCAATGGAAATTGCATTTTGCCTGCAACAGAATTCCTTGGGCAAGAATTCGCTTTCTGCTTTTCGTGTCTCCTCCATCTGTGCGGAGATATCTCTCATCCTTCTTATACTTATTTTTTGATTGATTTGATCTCATGCAAACTGAAGGGGATTTCAAATTCATTTCAAATTCATTCGAAATCTGAACAGAATTCTTTTACTGGAACCCTCAGAGTTCTGCTTTCGTTTCCATAAATTACAGATTGTATTTTTCAGTGTTCTGGAATGTTTGCCCATTAATGCTAAATGCTGCTGAAAGGGGGGTTTCCCATCAATTGGGAACACAATTAAAGACTCTGTTATTCATTTCCTTTGGTAGCTTATCAGCCTTTCGTCACGTTGATTCTCCCACGCTTTACAAATGCCTCAAAATATCCAAGAACTGTTACGAAAAAAAATCTCTACAAAGAGCAAAATCCTCAAATCAAATTGGGTTTCCGTTTGCACGGAGTTGCCCATCAGTGTTCATTCCCCAAATTTCTTTTAATCTCTTTGCTCGCTAGACTTCTTCTTCTGCTTCTTCCCTTCCGCCTCGTACCCGAAATTCTCTCACTCTTGTGGAATCTCTCGCATTCACGGGTATATCGCATCGCATCGGATCGGTGATTCGCATTCGGTTGATTCCCTCGCCTTGGCGGTCATTGAACCTCCTCCCCAAAGCTTTTTTCTTGTAAACACAATTCCGCCTGTCTAGAGAGGGGGCGGGGGGGCGATCTCTAACGCGTTGTTGCTGTTGCTGTTGCTGCCACTGCCATTGTCGTGGGTTGCCCGTCGTTGACCCTTCTCGGAATATTACGTATACGCCGCCGACGACGCCTGATCGCCTGCGCTCGTTCTGCTGCCTTGAGGCGACGACGCTGCGGGCAATGCACGCATACGATATTAGGCCTTCACAGAGAGAGGGAGAGGAGAGAGAGCGAGAGAGAGAGATAACAAATGTGCGAGTATCTGACTAATGCGCCTGCCTTCTCCTGCTGCCCTCCCACCCTCAATGCAGCTCCAATTAGAACGAACAGGCAGGCAGGCAGGCAGGCAGCAGCAGCAGCAGCGACGGCGACAAGTTCAATGCGATCATTCGCTGTCGCTGTCGCTGTAGCTGCCTCTGCTTTGAGGTTGTTGTCGAGGTCTCCTTCTCCTGCCGCTCTTCCCCCCCACTTAGGTAGGGGTTAATGGCAGGTTGTAATTTTTTGTTGTTTTTTTTTTTTGTGCAAGGCTCTCTCCATGGCAAACGTTGCTTAGAAGAGAAAGGAGGGGGAGGGGGGGGGAGAAAAAACGTGGCAGTGGCCGAGTCATTGGTGACATTCTTGGGATGATCTTGAAAGAGTCATCCAACCGACAGAGCCAGAAAGAAAGAAAAAACTGAATGGGCGACAGATCTGCCATACATACATATGTATATATGTATGTATGTATGTATGTATGTATGTATGTATAGCTAAAGATACGTACGATTATTCTCATATGCGGTTTCATTTATAAATCGGTTAAAGGTCGCCAATACGAGAATTGTTCGTTCACTGTCGCGGGGAGGGAGAGGGAGAGGAGAGAGGGAGCGCAGCGAGACAGGCAAAACCAAAAAAAAAAAAACCCATAAAAAAAAACAAAAAAACCAAAAAACCTTTAAAAAAAAAAAGTGCACACAAAAAAATTACAGAAAACATTAAAAAACAATTCTTGAAAAATGCAAACAGCACAAGTGCGCGACAAGCACAAAAACCGATACGCCACGCATAAAAGAGGCTTAAGACATAGTAGCCCAGCCCGATCCCCCCCCCCCCACTCAAGGGGTAGGGGGGGGCAGGGGAAATTGCATCAAACTCAAAAAAACGCAGCGACAACAATGAGTCCAAAAAAAAAAAACAATATATGGGCAAACAAGAGATGCGGCAAGTGGCAACAAGTTCTTATTATGCTTCCCTCTTCCGTTCCCGCTGTTCCAGGCACTATCCCCCCCGCCACTGTCACAGAGCAGGCCTGTGTCCCTCAGGGCCGCGGGGCCCATTTGGCAATCTTTTGGTTTTTTTTTTTTTGAGTGCAAGGAGATGCGAAGGAGAGCAAAGGGCAGTGCGGCGGGGTTGGGGGCAACCCGTTTCCAACCGATCCCAAGAGATCGAGAGCGAGAGAGCGAGGGAGAGATAGTGAGAGCGAGAGGGAAACTGGGTTAGTGCAGCCAGAGGGGAGGGAGATCGTCGTCGTCGTCGTCGTTGTCGTTGTCGTCGTGTAATAAAATGCGGTAACCAAAATATTAAACAAGTCTGCGTCGACAGTCGCAGATTCATCAGCAGCAGCAGCAGCAGCAGCAGTGTCCGACATCAGCAGAAAGGCCTCCTTGCTAAGTAAAGCGGGGAAGGGCAGGGCAGGGCAGGGCAGTGAAGGGCAGAGGGTGTGTAACGGTAGGGGCCCTAAAAACAAACGCAAAAAACCAGGCCGCCGCCGTCTTCCACATAAAAAATTAACTCAAAAAAAAAGAGGTGTATTTTTTTGTATTGGGTGTGTTGGGCTGGGATTGGGGTTTCTTCTGCTGGTTTTTTTGTTGTATGTGAAATGTGGGCTACACTTTCAATTGGTGCACCGCCCCCCACACACCACACCACACCACACCATTCAACCCATCGGCAGTAAGAGCGCTGATAAACGCTTCACAGATCGTTGTGAGAGTATGCGTGCAGGGCAGGGCACACACACACACACACAGCGAAAGTTGCAATGTTCCCGTCTATTTGCAGAGGGCTTTTTGCTGCTGCTGCGGCAGCGATCTCCAGTCAGAGCAAACACTCGCAGCAGCAGCAGCGTTGCGTTCTCCCTCTCTCTGTCGCTCTCTCTCTCTCTCTCTCAGAGACGACACTTTTGTCTTTACAATTTTCCCCCAAAAAATTGTTGTGGCCTGGCCGCCTGGCCTTTGAATAAACAAAACTTCTAAAGAGCCGCACCAACACACAGGCAGAACCACGCACACACACGCACACTGCTGCTTCTGCTGCTGCTGCTGCTGCTGCCGCTGCTGTCCCGCTGCTTTCGTTCTTCGCTGTGTTTTTTTTCGGGTACTGCCGCTGCTGCCGCTGGCTTTCACTGTGTAAAAATGCAGCGCGCGATCAACGCAGCGCAGTCGGCGTCGCTGCACTCCAAAAAACTGAAAGAAGCCAACGACAGCGACAACAACAACAACAAATGCAAAGCAAACGACGACAACGACGAACGGCAGACGACGAACAACGACGATGAGAAGTATATAACAAAAAAAAGCGAGCAAAAAAATACAAAAAAAAATAAGGCGAGCGAAAAGCGAAAACATAATGTATATATGGGCAAGGGAAAGAGAGCAGGGTTAGGGCAGCGGGGGGATATATATTCTCTGATTCAATTGGGCAGACGTAGGCCTGTATGTGTGTGTGTGTGTGGCAGCAGCAGCAGCAGCGACACACTCACACACTCCACTCCGGCGCACACACACATATTCCAACATTGCATTTTTTTTCGGGGGAACCTCAGTTGAGCTTTTCGATTCCGATCGGTTCGTTCAGTTACTAAAGTTAGTTCCAACCAAACGCACAAAAAAAAAAAAAAAACAAATACAATATTGTATATTCCAAATATATTATACCCCAAATATTCCAAAATTTTCAATTACCGTTTCAAGTTTTTGTGCCTAAAAATTTCCAATTGAATTTTCAAACACACACAGAACACACACACACACACAGTCTCGTGAAAGAGGACACTCTGTTGGAAACTTTTTTTTTAAATTTTTTTGACAAGTGCAACCGCGAAAAAAGGGGGAAACAAAAAAGGATCCGAAGGGAGAGATTTTGTGCGCGATTCGCGCGCGATTTGCAGCAGTCGAGAACAGCCGAAGAAGAAGCAGTGCAACAGCGGCTAAGGAGCAAGGATAGGAAAAAGAGATAAAGAGATACAGATAAGAAGAAGAAGGAGAGGGAAGTGAATCAGTGAACAATTTTAGAGACTCTTTCCCCGCATGCCCGCCCGCGCCGCAATGTGCGTGGCTGCCTATGCACTGACAAAGGCCGAATGCAGCCGCAAGGTATGTAAGGGGCGCCAACCTCAACCCCCCCCCCCCCTGAGCCCCTGAGCCCTGAGCCCCTGACCCCCACCCCCACATCCTCATTTTCACTGGAAGGAAGTGCATTCCAGCCATACATCACATCTCTCCATTGGAATCGATCCTCCTGCCATCTATAAATCCTGAAGATCTCCCAGAAATCTCTCGGATACACACATTGAAATTTGATTCCTGGGGCTTTTTCTCCCTCTTATTCACATGAAGGACATTTGGTCTTGTGCAATTTTGATCGTAAGAGAGAGAGAGAGAGAGATGCAGCAGCTGCCTTTGTCTTCTCTCTCTCCCTCTCTCTCCCTCTCTCTCTGTCACTCTTATCTTAAGTTCAACTTCAAGTTTCGGCTACTTCTCCCTCGCGCTCTCCCTGGCTCTCCTCTTCTCTCTCTCTCTCTCTCTCTCAGTCATTAGCACTTTGATGGAGAATCGTCGTGGCCTAGAAGCCCCCCCTTACTGCTCGATCCCCTTCCCACGTTCTCGTGCAAATTTTCGGTGCATCTGCATACAAAGATACAGAGGGACATAAACACACACACATACACATGTACAAAGACATAACCCGAGCTGCAGGAAGTCACTCAAGGCAGCAGCATACGCGGAAGGGAAGGGAGTGCGGTGCGGTGTGGGGGGGTGCGGGGGCAGAGCAGAGCAGAGCGACGAAAGCGGAGCACAGTAGCCGCCCTGCAAAAAGGCAGCGGCAACAGCGACAACAGCAACGTCCGATCTCTGCTGGCGTCTCTGCTGCCGTCGTCAATGCATTGTTCGCTTCTACCTCCTCTTCCTGTCCTGTCCACACCCCCCCCTCTCTTTTCTCCTCTTTGGCTGTGCCATTCTCCGGCTCTTCGGCCTTTGCCGACTGTCGCTCTGACTGCAGTTTGCCGAAGCTCGCCAGGGCCAAGGCAGCAGAGGATCTTGGGCACTGCGCTTCGGCTCAGAGGCACGACTGCGGGGCCGAAAGCCAAAAGCCGAAACCGAAGCAGAGACCCACCCGAGACCCAGAAAAGTGCAGTTTGCTGTTCAGCGTCGCACCGAACAAACGTACAACGTGTCTCGTGTGGCAGCTCATCCGCCGATCCGTTCCGTTGCCGCTCTTCGGCCTCACGCACAATCATTTTTCATTTTCGCAACCGAAACAACAGCAAACAAAAAACCGCCGTAAACCGCCCGGACACGGACAGCTCCGGCATAGGACGACCCCCCCACAAAGTGTATTCACTGCCCCCCCTTGTCCTTTCTTTTGTTTTTCTCCCCTCTTTTTTGTTGTTTGTTTTGTTGATTTTTAAGTAAATTGTTTTTTGGCGTACAAATCAGGATCAGATCCTTGCCACCTGCCACCCGCAACACATAAATTGCAACCTTGCAACCTTGCAACCTCGTGTGGCTTTAGTCAGAGAGTGAAAGACCCTCACTCGGCCTCAACTTTAACCTCAACTTTGACCTCAGCAACACAGCACCGAAATATCCGCACTCAGGAAACCACAGGATTAAGACCAGCAGCAGCAGGAGCAGCAGCAGCAGCAGGTAAGCAGGCGCCGGTGCAGCCGCCGATCAGCCAGCCATCCATCCACCGGTGGAGCAGCGGGTTGAGAATGTTCCACAACTTTCGCTTTCGCTTTTCATCAGGCGCAGTAGAACGTGGGGCATGGGGGGCGGGGGGACCAGAAAAATGGGACAACAACAAAGGGGACAGAAGGAGACAGCAGAGAGAGAGAGAGGAGACACGAACTCAACCACACAACGAGATGCGGGGGCTCCGAAATCCTCTGTCTACGACTAGCTCCCCCCCACTCCACCCCACCGCGCTGTTGCTTTGGTTAGTTGTTAGGGCGACCGAGACCGAGACCCACAGACCAGAGACCAGACAGAGGCGACAGGCAACAACAATGGGCCACATCCAACATCCAGAATTCACATCGCCCCCCCGCCCTGCCCGCCATTACCATTCGCATCCCCACAAAAGCCACAAAGACCGGTACCCTACTCTTGCCACACAGACACACCACACACACATGCAACACAGTGGCAGAGTCGGGGAGTCGGGAGGGAGCCTAGGTGACGTAATGGCTACTACTCCACTAACACATTTTTCTGCATTCCTGCACCGCGTGCTGCAGGCTGCAGGCAGAAGGGGGGCATGCTACAGAGAGTCAGTCGCACGACGACGCGAGAGAAAAACTGAATGAAAATTGCAGGCAGAGTCAGGCAGCAGCCAACGAAGCGTGTGCCTAGCAAAAAAAAAGGAACAACAAAAAAAAACACAGCAGAAAAAAAGAAAAAAAAAAAAAAGAGAAGCACGAAACTAGAGACAGAGGAAGCCAGAGACCAGAAAGCAGACTACGACAACAGACATAGATAGAGCGAGCGAAAGAGGGAGAGAGATAGAGGGAGAAAGGGACGACGACGACTCACACACGTGGTGGAGCCATGGAGGATGGGGATAGGGATGGATGATGATGATGATGGCACTAGAAAAAAATAAAACAGAGACTCGCCAAACTGGTGGCCGCCGCCGCCGCCGCCGCTGCCTGACGAGGAGACTAGACATCGTCGCAGGGAGAGGGAGAGGAAGAGACAGAGCGAGAGTGAAGCTTGCAGTGTCTATGCGTGTGTGTCTGTGTGTGTGTGGCTGTGTGCGAGTGGCCGACATTCAAGGTTGACTGCAATTGTTGCAGTAGCCAGCCAGCCTCTTCCTCTGCCTTGCAATCATGCAATCGAGACGTGTTCCAGGAACCACACCACAGAGAGAGAGAGAGAGCGAGAGAGAGTAGTTTCAGTCCAGTGTTTCGCAGAGAGAGAGAGAGAAAGAGTGAGCGAGTAACAGTAAAACTGAAGCGAAGACTGAACATTTTAGGGCTTCTTCTTCCGCTCAAAAGGGACTAACGGGAAATAGTAGGAGAGCAAGAAAGCAAAGAAGTAAGTGAAAGAGCTGGCGAAGGAACAGTGGTAGAGGCAGTGGCCAGAGAGGCACAGCACAGTGGAAAGAAGAGATGCGCTGCTCCGTTTGCCATTTACAGTTAATCAAAAGAACAGAACAGAAGTCGTTCGGAGTTCGTTCTCGTGGGGGGGCAATTAGAAGAAGCCTTCTCTCTCCCAAGAGAGAGAGGGGTGTGTAGGGTGTGTTGGTGGAGGCGGCGGCGGCGGCGGCGGCGGCATTACTTCCGTTAGCCTTGGCTCTCAATCAACAGAACAGCAGAACCAGAAAAGAACAGAACAGAAAGCAAGAAAGAGTCACAGCCGGCGGCCAATTGAGGCGGTCGGTCGGGTCGGTCGCACAAGTGGACACACACACACCATACAGATAGATACACCATTTCCTATAGTAGTTCCCTCTCCACCCCCCCACCCCTTTTTAGGAGGTGACTCATTGAAAAGCGAGAGGGGGAGAGAGAGAGAGAGAGAGAGAGAGCACTTGTTTGGCTGCAACTTCAAAGCACATCCACATGCACATGCACACACGTTGCAGCGACAGACAGATGCAATAACAAACAACTTGCACACAAAGCCCAGGCACAGCCATCATAATGATCATGATGATGATGATGATGATGACGATGGTGCCATTCAAGGCCACGCGACGATGACTGGAAGGAGGGAGGAGAAGACTAGCAAAAACAAACAGAAATAAAAAAAAACAAAAAGAGGCAGAAAAAAACACAAAAGAGAGACAGAAACAACAACAGCAATAACAACCAAGTGCATAGTTATCGCTATCGACAAAGTAGGCACAGATCATGGGGATCATGGGAGCAGCATTGGCGAAGCAGGGGGGGTGGAGGCACAGTGGAATGGAGCAAAGGAATAGGCTGGCTGGCTGGGCTGCTCCAATCGAGAGTCAAGTTCTCGGAAACGGTTACTCCAAGGCCAAACCCTGGAGATAGACAAACAAATGGCATGTTCGATGGTGGAGGAGGAGGAGGGAATGAGGGACAAAGGCAGCAAATAGGAGAAGTAGGGACAAAGGCAGAAGTAGAGGCAGGCAGAAGAGTGAAAAGAGGGAGCGCAGACTAGACAGCGGACAACAAGATAGTAGAGGCTACAACTTCACGTCTCCTCTCCGCTCCACTCCACTCCACTCCTCTGATTCGCTGCCTCTTCACTTCTCTCTCTTTTGCATTGCCTGCTACTCCTTTCGCCCTCTTAAAGCTCTACATTTTGTTCGCGATGTTTCTATTTTCTGCAGCAGCAGCAGACGACAGACGACAGACGACAGACAACCCATGCACTTCTGTCCCGTTCCGTTGCCTTTCCCGTTCCCTTCCCTTCCCTTCCCTGGCTGATCCTCTTGCTCATCAACCTTCCTCGTCTTCCACTGTTCCACTCTTGCATGCTGCTTCCACGCTGCTTCCAGGCCTGCTGCTGGCTCAGTCAGTCAGTTGGTCATGAGTGTCATGTGGAATTGTTGTTGCTGTTGTTGTTGGTGGATGGTGGAATGGCGGAGGGTGTCTGCTTGGCTGCCCCCGTATCTTTCCCCACCCCGTTCAGCACTTTCGTTGACATTTTTTTTTTTTGCACTCACTTGTGCACTCTTTTTTCTTCGATCTCTTGTCGTCTTGTCTCGGGGTTTCAGCTTACATCGGGGCCGTCGGATCGGGGCGAGGGTTGTCCGTGTGTGTTATATAAAAAAAATTGTTGGCTAAGGCTTAGAGAGCTTCGTTTTGCGACGGGTAATACGAGACGAGTATTAACGGTAAATGTGACAGTGACAGTGGCCGTGACTGTGCCACAGTAACCCTCACAGAAGCCCCCCAGTCCATGTGTGTGTGCTAGGAAACCGTAATTGGTACACACAAACACACACACACACACATGATGCACATTGAGCCCCATTCCATTCCAATATCTACCGCTTTTCTTCCACCCTCGCACAGTGCATTGATATTCAAAAAAAAAAAAAAAACATAAAATAATAATATAAAAAACACCAAAAGATCAACGGCATTTGCAGGCAGTCCCGAAAAAGTACTGCCTGGCCCCATATGCACATGTGTGCGCGTGTGTGTTTGTGTGCCTAAAAATAAGCCCCAACAGCAGCAGCAGCAACTGGCCCCGCGACTTCTTTTGCTCCAAGATATATCTGGAATCTCCTACATACATACACACTCGTATATTGCACATGCGGCAGCAACAGCGGAGGCGGCATCGTCGATCGCAAAGTTCTCTCTCTCTCCCTCTCTCTCGCTATCTCACTCGCACAATTTGCTGAACACATTTTTTATCTAATAACCTTGTGCAATGTTATTAAACCCAAAAAGTTTCTTAACCTCGCAGCAGCGACCAAGCAGCCGCAGCCAGCAGCAGCGGCGAGTAGAGCGAGCAACGCAGCGACTGCGGCAGCAGAACAGCTTTTTGATGAGAAATGCTAATACATTGTTGTGTATGCCTGCCAGTTTAGTGTGTGTGTGTGTGTGTGTGTGTTGCGTGTCTGTGCGTGTGCGATCGAATAATCAGCAGAACAAAGCTCAAGGGGGTATCGGTTGTGGGATAGGCGGTAAAGTAGCGGGAGGGGGCGGGCTGGGTTGTCCCGTTTTCCTTCTTTATATACGATATGCGCCTGCATATGTGTGTCAATTGATCGCCTGCATATATATTTGAGCTTGTGTGTGTGCTTGTGTGCCATATTGCGAAAAATGGTCTATAAAATTAATGAGCTGGCACACACACACACACACGCACAAATAATACACATGTAAATGCATCTCTACGGTCGCCGCCATATCAATATGTATGACAACACCCAAAACGGGGGTATGGGGGAATGTGCAAAGAGAATGAGAGCGTTGGAAAGGCAAAGCCAAAAGCAGCAAAGCAAACAAAGTTCCAAGTTCCATGTAATGCGAATTCAATTGTACGCATACATACACACAGGCACAGCAGCAGCAGCAACAGCGAGAGAGAGATCGAGTGAGAGCGGGAGAGCACATTCATTGCGTTGGCTGCGCAGCTGACTTTCGACTGCAGATCCGCGACTTTTGCTTGGTCTCTCGCTCTCTCTCCCTCTCTTTCACATCGTTTTCGGTCACTCTGCACCTCCTGCTGCCGCCTCCTCCTCTCCTTCTCGAGCGCACCCCCCCCCTTCCGGAGGCTTTTGTTCTCCGCCAGTAATTTGCCGTTTTATTATTTTTTGCGCTGTTTCCTTTTACATTATTCGCATTTGCTTGAACTTTTTGAGTGCATTTCGCATTTCAATTTTCCCGAATCCCCATTTCCAGTCGACAGACCAAACTAAAAAAAAATATTAACTGCTGCGCTTGGCAACTTAGAAGCGCATTTCTTTGCACCGCCCACCCCGCTCGTCAACCTGTGGGACAGACAGGGCTGCCTATTCCCTACTATTCGATACCGTTATGCTCTTACGTAGCCGTTTGCTCATTTTATTTTGCCAACGTCAACGACGGGCCAACCCGTTCCCAGGCGGCTGGCCAATGGAATGCAAATTTCCAATTTCGGAACAGAAAACAGAAAAAAAACAGAACCCGAGACGCAGCAGAAATGGCGCAGTAACAACACAGAAGCAAAACGAAAGACTACTTACAGTGATCTCTGGCAGATAGGAGACATCATCGATAGAGCGACGTGGGCGCAGCAGCAGCAGAGAGTTTTGGGCACGGAGGTGAATGCACCCCATCCCAACGATATGGTCAGCGCGGGCGCGGAGTATAGCGACGCGGAGTCCCGCTAGAACAGTCAGCGACAGCGACGGCGTCGTTTCGTTTGTTTGTTATTTTCGTACGTTTTTGCAATTTGCAGTTCAATGTTCATTAGATGGAGGAGGGAAAGGGAAAGGGAGGACAATTGACTGATTGGAAGTGGTCGACCAGGGGGTGGGAGAGAGCGAGAGAGAGAGGAGAGGGACAGTTATCAGGCGAGCCGCTCGAGCGATAATGGAACGAACGGGCACGGTTCGTTTCGGAGTTACACGCTTCCCGACAGTTGAACGCGCCAGCCACAGTTCAAAGCCCCGAGCAACGGCTGCAGCAGCGTCGACGCAGACGATGACGACAGCGCGCACACACGAAAAAAAAACACAAATCACTCACTTCCCCTTCCTCTTCGGGTATTGGGGGTACAGGCACTGGCATAGGCACTGGCACTGTTACAGGCACAAAACAAAAACCTTCAAAGGAACTCCCCACGGGGATCACTCCAATGGGGACGACCATTTCCGCGGAACAGATCCAAAGCCGAACGCGTCACACTCAAAACTAAACGGAAAATGCGGCACCGCCACGATCTAGCGGCGAAACTATTTTGCCGAGCAGCCGTTTACATTGCTAGTTTTCTAGCTTTCGAGAGCGCTAGATACACGAATAGGAGAGAGAGAAGGAAGAGTCCCACAGAAACCGCTCAAATAGAAACCGCACAGAAACTACTCACGAAACTAGTTGAGTGAGAGCGGAGAGCTTTCGAGCGACAAATCTATTGAGTGCATTGCATGATCATGCTCAAACGTTACGCTCCCTCTAACTCATGGAAGTTAGGCTTGAGGCATAGGATTTGCGCTGCTTGTCTAGCATAGCATCATTAGGAGGTACGATACTCTTCTACTCTTGCGCCTGCTCTTGCTCTTTCCCACACTCCCGCGCATACACACACACACATAAACAATCTCTCGCGAACGGGACAGAGAGCTTTTTCGACTTTGGCTCGCGATTTGTTGAATTTTGCTGCGGGGTAAACGACCGAATGTCCGACACACGATGACTAGGTTAAGGTGAAGGTCAAATTAGCGAAAAATGCAAAACAACTACAGCAACAGAGAAGGAAGCAAGACAGCAAGAGAGAGGGCGAGTAAGAGAGGGAAGGAAGCGGGGAGCCAAAGCTGACGGCGCAGTCGCAGCGCACTAACAATAGAAATCAACTTTGTCAGCGTTAAAGCAACAAAGACTGGGCTGGCTACGGTAGAGTGCGGAGTGGGGAGGAGTGGAAGTCGCAAAAAGAAGTTGAAGCGTAGACAAAAGTTGTCTGCTGTCTGCCGGTAGGGGGAGGGGATCGGATCGGATCGGCTCTGATGTAGGCACAGTAGGAAGCTCAGCCAGGCAGGCGGCGGCAGAGGCTCACATACATATGTATTAACACAAAAAGCCAAGGCCTCCGATCATAGAAGGGGGTAAGGACAGGGGACAGGGACACAGATCCGCAGACAGTTCTTTTTTTGTGCTTGTCTGCTGTCTGCCGATCCCCCTGCTAGCCCCTACCCTGTCTAAGTTATTCAAGTGGATCCCTCCCGCCACCTCCAATCCTCCAGCAGCGATAGACAAGCTACAAGGCAGTGACTGGGACTGTGCTGCGCTGCTGCTGCTGCCTTTTCGAGATGGTGTTTGTCCGCAACGCTCTCACACATCAACGCTTCGCTCTCTCGCCTCTGCCTCTCTCTCTCTCTCACACTCGCACGCTTTGGACTCGCTCTCTCTTCCTAAAAAAGCGCTGGCTGCGCTGCCTTCTAATGTTGGTTTCTCACTCTCTCACACACACACACACACACACTTGCACATGTGGCTGGCTGCCAGACGACAATCGTCTCTATTATGCGCAACTAGCTGCGGCAGCGACGCAGACGGTGACGGCGAGGCAGAGCAGAGCAGACGATGAACGCGAGACCTTGAACTTGGACTCAGTTTTCGAGTTGAAGAATTGGGTTTTGTTTTGAATTGTTTTTATATGTATGCCTGTCTGCTATCTCATTTCTCTCTCTCTCTATCGCTCTCGCTGTCTCAATCGCCCGGGCATGTTCTATGTTTGCTTTTGGGTTTGACGGTGTGAGAAGAGTGTTTGGGAATGGAGGAGGCACTGGAGGTTAGGTGTTGTCTGGCGACCCCCTTCATTGCCTGCAATTAGCCTAATGGGCTAATTAACACGCATTAATCAGGTGCAACTAGGGTACCAGTATCCCCTACCCTACCCTACCCTACCCCACTACTGTGCCGGTCATGTCCTATATATGTATGTAGCATAGCATTAGCATACACACACTCACACAGCAACGTGCAAAAGTATGTGTACATTTGCTTATGCATATGCCATGTAATGCCCCGTTATGCTGGACGCAGACGAGTTCAGTTCACGTGGTGCACTTGCAGTGAGAGGGGGCTCCCTCCTCCCTCCCAATGTCTCTCTCTCTGCTCAGTCTCTGCTTGCGTCTGTCTAGCATTTGTCTAGCCCACCCGACACACACAGCCATACAGACACAGACACAGCGTGCTGCATTTCTACTCTGGGGCTGCTGTAACGGTGCCTTGCGACGTCATCGTCATCGCCATCGCCATCGTCTCTCCCTGCCCTCTTTGACTAGTTTTTACACAGAACTTTCGCTTTCGATGGCTCTGGCTGTGCTGTGCTGTGTGGCTGGCTGCCCTGCGCTCTCTCTCTCTCTTTGCCACTCGTCACGTGTGTGTGTGTGTGTGCTTTTATGTGTGGGGTTTTGTGTGTGATTTGGACGTTAGATTTTACATTTGGCCGGCATTTCTCTCCTCGGAAGGGGGTGGGATGGGAAATGTGTGCGATGTGAGCGCCAGAGCGTCTAGCCGGCAACAAGTGGAACTGTCGCCCCACTGGGCCCCCGGTGTGTGTGTGTGTGTGTGTGTGTGTGTGTGGGAATGTATGATGTGTATGTGTATGTGATGTGGTTGCCAATGGGGGGGTGGGGCCTGTGGGGCCATGTGTAGATGTTGTTTGTTGACTGACCTTGTTTAATGTTTTGTAAACTGTCGTAGGTGGGAATTGTATAATGGTGGAATGGTGCTGGTACACGACCTGACAGCAGCAACTAAAATCAACTCAAACACACACACACACACACAAAAGAATGGAGACAGTGCACTAGGGCCCCTCCGCAACCCATTTCTGTGGATTAAAGCACGCTCCTCTCACGTGCTCCGTGTTGGGCGCCACTCGAAGGTCAGGATAACCGCTGTCACGCTGGTACGGGCAAAAAAAACCAAACAATACTCATTAATCTCGGGGTGGGTGGGAAAGTGCCCTATAGCCAAGTTGCCATTTTGTAAATATCAAAAGGGTTTAGTGGTCAAAAGAACAACGTGTTTTAGTGTGGTTTATCTCAATGATGATTAAAAATAACACTTTAGGACCCATCGGTGTGGGAGGCCAAGGGGTGTGTGTTGATAGAGGGTTCTTAGCGAAAAGTGGTCCGGCCTATTGGGACACCTTCGTTTAAAGTTGAAAAGTGGGGTGGAGTACCAACGTAGACGCTTTCCGTCCCGCAACCCGGGGGCTCCGCGGAATCATGATATACCTTGGCCATCCCGGTACAATTAGAGGTCTTATCTGGCCGGGGGCTCTCCCATGCGGTGGTTAATAAAGCGTTGCTTATCCCCCTTTTCTCAGTGATTTGGTAGATCGCGGGGGGGTGCTCCATTAGGTAAACCATAACCAACCTGATACGTCGTGGGTGAAGCCCAATAATTAACAATATATGTAAAAAAGGCGGTCTTTTCGGGTGTGAGAAAATAAACATCTGGTAAGGCCTATTACCCCTAAACCCCTGGCCCCCCTAACAAGCGCACAAAGGTATAAAAATGATATGGTGCCCCCATCGGGTCTAAGCGCCGGCAGAGGGCCCCATAGTGGCAGTGGGGAGGCAGTAGGTGCGTGTGAGTGTGAGTGTGTGCATAACTAAATCGCATAACCTTGAAAATAGAAATCGCACACAGAAACAGAACTGACGGGGGAACAACGATAGGAATAACGAATGCCAAAGCTAAAGCAAAGTCAAAAGAAATCCACAAAAGTTTTCGGACAAACAAAAAAGAAAGAAAAAGCAAACAAACGCACACACACACACACACACCCGACAGAAGCTAATAATGAAAGAAAAGCAGAGAGAAGTAGGAGTAGAAATAGAAGAGTGACACGCGAGAGAGAGCGCAAAGACATGTCGATGGAAGGGGGGGAGGAGAGAAAGAAGATAACGGCGGCAAACAAGTTTGCACACGTTCCAGTGTCAGTGCTGCGCAAAAACTTAAAGCTAACCTGCAAAAAGAGCGAATGAAAAACAAACGGAACTCACACGAAAATATATTTCACCTGTAAATATCCATACAATATTTATATGCAGCTCTATTTATAGTATTTTCTTGATCAAAGAGTTGTTTTGGGATGGAAACCTTGGAGAAGCCGCAATTCCCGCTAGCTTAAAACAAGCCAGATTTTATCAGAATAAACTAGCTGACAGCACTGCTACAAACATTAGCATGAAAACCCGTGCATTCGTGCGAAAAAATGCCAACAAAAAAATGTACAAATTTTATCAGAAAATAAAGCGTATCTAGCGGGCAGCACTGCTGCAAACACTAGCATTGCGCATATGGTGGAGATGGAGGTTAGAGCGAGAAAGATGTAGCCGAAAGTGCGAGAAGCTAATCAATTTGCTAGATCTGTGAAGAGGTAGTAGTAGTGGGTCGGCTGTGAGTGGGGTGGGGTGGGTAGGGGAAGGGGAAGGAATGGGAATGTCATAATGAGCTAGAGCCAGATCGGAACGGAAATATGTATATGCAGTGTGTTGGTGTTGGTCTATTTTTAATGGAATTATACAATTTAGTTTCCAACTGAATAAACTACTTCTCTATCTAATCTCATTTTTTTCGGTTCCTCCTTTTTTTTTTTTTTTTTTTTTGGTTTTTTATAAGCTACAGCGCAGTCAGCCAAATAATTGCTTTTATTCAAACGCAACACACACACACACGCAGAATTGCGAGAGAGAGAGACCCCCGAAAGCAAAAAAAAAAAACCAAAACGAAAACAAAAAACGACTGCAACGAAATCAACTTTTTTCTAGAACTATTTTGAAGGCTGCTGGCGGCAGCGGCGGCGTCGCAGCAGACGCTGCCAGTGTGGGATGCGAATGTGCGAAAGCGTCAGGGAGAACGGGAGTGAGAGAGAGAGAACGAACAAGCGGCGAAATGCGCCAAACAAAATTTAATAATAATACAGCTACAAAATAAAAAAAAGAAACAACAGAAATATAGTATTTAGCCTTGAAAGTTCGTAAACACTACGGCCACACTACCACACACATGCAGGCGTGTCTGTCTGCCTGTGTGCGTGTGTGAAAGCGTCGTACTGAAGATCTGTTATATGCAGCAAAGAAAGAAATATAACTATACACTTATCCGCTTCACGGGAATGGTGAAATGATCTATTAGGTATCCAATCCGATTCCCCCACAGCCCTGGTAGACATTTCCCACGGCGCCGCAGCCGCTGCTGCTGCCGCTGCTCCTGTCCCACCAGACGGGGGGTGGGGGAATAGTAACGCGAGTGCTTCCCATGATGTGTCGGGTAATGCGAGCCCAGGCGAGACCTTCGATCGGGGGACGTAATTGGAGGCAATTGTTGGAGTCCAGTTTGGAGTGTCTACCAATCGGTGGTGTCAGCGGCGCCTGGAGAGTCTGGCTTTAGATACTTTTACGTCTGCTTCTGTCTCTGTCGCTGACTCTCACTCCCAGCTCTCCCTGCCATTGTCTATGCTGTTACCATTGCCATTATTATTAGTTGTTAGTCAGCCAGGGCAGCGACGCTGGCAGAGGGACAGTGCCCAGCGACAGAGGCAGCGACTTCGACTGCGACGCTTTCAGTTTTGTTCTATGCACAAAAATCTGCCACTACCTCTGACACACAGAGCAAAAAAGAGAGAGAGAGAGCGAGCGAGAGAAACCAAATTTGACGCTGGATTTTTTTTTGCCAAAAAAAAAAGCTGCCAGCGTCGCTGCAGGCAGCATGCGCCTCTACGTGTGTGTGTGTGTGCTGCGTCTGGGAATTCTTAGTACATTCTAAAACGGCCGCAATCGGGCGGTCGCCTGTCGCAGCCCAGGTTCAAGATGGATTCCAGGTGCAAATACAACAAAAAAAAACACAAACACACACACACATGAGTGTGTGTCCCTGTTGCTATCCCTGTCTGGCTGTTGGGCAATCCTTTGGGCAGCCTGCGCGCCTAGCCTCCGACGCCGAAACGCCAACAGAGTGTGCGCGCGTTCGCTCTCTGGCTCTGGCTCAGCGGCTCTCTCTCCCTCTCTCGCTCTTTCTTCCAGACACTGGCAGAATTTTGCCAAAAAATTTTGTTGGATAGTTTCGCATGTGTGTGTCCTAATGCGCTTTTTCGGGTGCCGTCGTCAGCGTCGACGCCGCCGCCTCTGCCGTTTGTGCTGCTGGCCGTGGCAGTGGCAGAGTCGGGCACTCTCTTCTTCTTCGTCGCGAATTCAGTCGAGTTTCTACGCTTGCAGTCGCCAAACGCAGCAAGCAAGCAAGCAGCAACAAATCAGCAGCAACAGCAGCAGCAGCAGCAAGCAGCAGCAGACCCAGTCCCTGGCATGCCAGGCAGCAGCAGCGTTGCCTTTAGTCTACCGCAGACCTCACCAAACGCAGAACGCTCTCCACACGACGCTCGCTCGTTGTTCTCTCCGCCCGCCGGATGATCCTCAATCAGATCCTAGATTCTGGTCTCCTCAAACCAGCCCTGGGCGGTTGCGCCCCCCTCCTCCACCCGCACCCGTAACACACAACACTCTCGATGAAATCGTCAAAATAGTTTAGTTTTAGTTTATTTGTTTTTGCTGCATCGGTTCGTTCGGTCGGTCGCTCGGTTCGCTACGGTTTTGGTCACACTGTAGTTTCACTTCTAAATAAAACCCCCCACCCCCATCATCTCGCGCGCGCGTGTGTGTGTGTGTGTGTGCCCCTTTCTCAACAATACAATTTTTTTTGTACATTTTCTTGAGTGACCAAACAAAACAAAAAAAAAAAAAAACAAAACAAAATAAAAGATCTCATAAAATTGCGTATACGCCAGCAGAAATCCCCAAGAAATTTGCAAACACTGCAAAACACACACCAAAAAATGTTTGAAACTCAAACGGCGGAATTCCCCTCCACCACCCACAAAGAAAGGGTAACAACAGCATCGGTTTGATCGTAATCCAATTGGATAGAAAGGTGAGAGTCCCCATGCCCCCCACCACCCAGAGGGGGGGGAGATGGTCAGTGGAGCCGGTCGGGAATATGATGATGGGATGACGGTATCATCTTCCATGTGTGTGGTGTGTGTGTGTGTTTGTGTGTGTGTTCCCATAGACAAAGAACCGTTGGCTTGAGCTAAGCTGCGCAGCGCTGTCGCTGCTCTGCGCTGCTCTGCTCTGGGTCTGTCAGTGGAGCTATTTTTATATACATGAGCTTTTTGTATTTGTTTGTGTGTGTGTGTGGGACAGCTCTACAAAGTGCAGCGCACTCTGCCGCGCGCTCTCTTCGGGCAGCGGACTTATCTAATAGTTTTCACTTTCAATGTCGTGGAAAAATAAAAAAAAAAAAAAAAAGCTTTGCTGCGTTGTGCGGTGAGCGATAAGCAGGCAGGCACAGCGCAAGAGTGTGCGCGAAAGGGGAGGGGGTAGGGAGAACGAATGCTAGCAAATGTTTTAGCTATTCAAATGAAATTTGCGATTGCTTTTTTTTTGGTTTGCTTTTGCGTTTGCTTTTGCATTGGTGTCTTTCTCTCTCTTTCCCTCTCTCTTCCTGCAGCGATCAGCGATGCGTGCCTGCCTGCTGTCCTCATTCTACCATTCTCTCTTCGGTCGCCATTCCTCCTCCCTCCCACTCCACATTCTGGAGTACAAGTGTTATATGCTTATGCTTGTTATATATTTTGTATTTGCTTCTGTTATAATTATACTATTTTTTTTTGGTTGTTGCTACCTCCCGTTTTTGCGATGCGTTTGCTCTTTTTTCTCACTTTTACCTTGTTTTTTTTTTTCATTTCTTTATCTGTTCTGTTCTTTCGGTGGTTCTGCACTCGTTATAAATTTTTTGCGCTGTTTGCACACAAAACCCCCTGACCCCCCCTCCCCGCTCTGCTCCGTCACTCTGCTAATTGTCTTGCAGATAGTTTTTTGTGCTGTTTTTTTTTGTTTTGTTTTTTAGTTTTTGGTTTTTTTTACCGTGTGACATAGAAAACTGGTCGACGAAAATGCGTCGTCGCCGTGGTTGACATTTTAAACTGCATTTGTTAACAATTTTTGGTACATTTTGCGAAGCACAAAGCGAGTGTGAGACGGAGGGGGAAAAAAGCAGCAAACAAATGCGGAAACTTTACGCAAATGTAGCAGAAAATGTAATGCATGGAGCGGGGAGGGCTTGGAATAGTTGATGCATTTGCAAACCAGTTTTCAGTATAGTATTTGGATGATGTTATTTAAATGGTATTGAAGGGTATTTTTGATGGAATTTGTCTAGTATTTTTTTCTTTTTTTTTTTGTTTCTTGTATAGCAAAGAATCATTCCTTTGATGTCTGGAATGACTATATGTATAGGGTACATTCCTTCAATTCTCAGCTTCTGCTTAAATATGTCCGTTCGCTTATGGGAAATTTATGCAGGAAATCAACGCCAAAATGTGCCGTCATGGAACTATCAAAGTTAACTTTGTTCCCAATGGATATCTCCACTTTCTTTACTTGATTTTAATTTCCAACTTTCTGTCTTTGCAGCTAAACAATAAAAATTAAGGAAAAACAAAAAGTATCCACTAAATACAGAGAATAAAAAACAACAAGAACAGCGAGAGGAAACAACTCCAGAGATAGAAGATATAACCCGCATTTTCGGGACCCAAAAGTCGCCCTACCTTTATACAAAGGGGGCACATTAACAGCCGCCAACATACGCAAGAAGGTGACCTCGAAGAAGGCCAGCGTTGTGTCGGTTGACGACGATCACAACAACAATAACAACCACAACAACGACCACAACGCTCGGCAGGCAACACCAACACTAGCAGCAATCCATACATCGATCAACACCACCCCCAATCGTACGCCCACATTGACACCGATTGCCACGCCCATACCAACGCCAACGCCCACACCCACACCCAAACCGGACACAACTGAACAAGCACAGGATTATCAAAGCAAAATGGACGACACACAGCATTTCTGCCTCCGTTGGAACAACTATCAGAGCAGCATCACATCGGCATTTGAGAATCTGCGGGACGATGAGGCCTTTGTGGATGTCACCCTCGCCTGTGAGGGGCGCAGCATTAAGGCGCATCGCGTTGTCCTCTCCGCCTGCAGTCCCTACTTCCGCGAATTGTTGAAGGTGAGTCCCCGTCTCTGTCTCTATATAACACTGATCTTTCCCTTCGCGCTCGGTGCGAGAGAGTGACCCACTTAGCTGCGTCTCCCTCTGGCAGCCAGTCTCTCCTTTCTGTTTTGTTTTTTTTTATCTGCCATGCCACACACACATGTGCAGCAGCCGTTGCTTGGGGGCATGTGTATATATCCATAGATAGAGAGATACATTTTCGTGAGTCATTTGGGGAAAATTAAACCACTGGGAATCAAACTTGAATGGACCTTCAAGACAGCAAGAGAAGCCCAGAAGGAGCTGAGCCCTACCGGAGACGTTACAGAAAGTTTGCTTAGCGTTTTCCGGTCTTCATGTTGGAGGTTTTTCCTGCCTTCTTTTGGGCGGTTGTGTGTGGCTTTTAGCTAAAAAATATTATGCCAGGGAAACTGCTCTCTGCGGCAGGAGGGGCCCGGGGGCCATAGACTGCGTTCTGTTTGCATTTTAATTTATTTAGTTGCACACGAAAAGGAGGGGCAGGAGAACCGCAACAGCCATGATAGACACGAAAGGAGGGCAAAAACCAAAAGCAAGGCAGGCAGGCAGGCAGGAAGGAAGGAAGGAAGTTAGTTGTGTGTACAGTCCGTAACATGTCATAAAGTTTTGCCTCGCTTTCTGCCTTCCTCGTGGTGTCTCTGTGGCAGGTTTGTGGTGCAAATTAGTCGATTGCTGGAATGTCCTGTCCTTCCTGCCTTCCTTCTGTCGCCACTGCTACTGGGGTGGGGGGGACCACGTTACGTATGATTGATTTGTGTCGCCTGATCATGCAACAACGCATGAGGATCCCAGTCCTGGGCCTTGCCAACCCCTCCCCACCACATTTACGTGCCTTTTGCCCTGCTAATCCTTGAAGTTGCTGCGGCCCCAAGTTGCAGGCCAAAGTAAACTTCCAAACTAATGCAGCTCCTCCATGTTCCTGCCCCCTCTACCTCACCTCACCACTCCCTTCCCCGTGGCGGGGGGCTTGGGTCTGCAGCTTTGCTTCATTATTTTTATTATGACATTAAAATTATGTGAATCGGTTGTTGTTCGTCGACATTTGCCCGCCAAAAACTTTTGCGGCAGCCACAGCCCTCTGCATTGAAAATATTTGCACGCAATTGCGGTTTTTTGGTGGAAGAGGGACACAGCTAGTTAGAGAGCGACACGGGAGGTGGGGGAGAGAGAGAGGCAGAGAGAGTGATAGAGTGGGAAAGAGTGAGTGGCAGAGGAAGAGCAACGTTTGCCATTTGCATTGTAACGGAGCTGTCATTGGGGCAATGGTGTGGCAGAGTGGTGTTGGGTGCGGCAGGGGCTGCAGTAGAAATTATATAAATTACAAAGTCCCCCCCCCCCCCCTCTCTCTTTCTCTCGTTCAAGGATACCCGCCCATCCTTGTCTCGTCCTTCGACATGATTTGTTAACATGATAGAAAACTTAGTGCTTTCCGTTCTCCGTTACGTTCCCCGTTACGTTCCCGTTCCCGTTCCGTTTCGTACTGCTCTCTGTTCTGTTTCTGTTATTATTTGCCGTTTTTTGTTCCAAATTATGCGCACGGCCAAGAAAGAGAAAAGATAGGAGGAGGCGAGAGACAGAGAGAGGAATATTAAGCCAAGTATCTTAGGGTCGCAGGCCTACGAAGTGGGATACCCTACGCAGAGCCAGCGTTTCATTCCGTTTCATTCCGTTTCATTCCGTTTCGTTTCTGCATGCAGATACAGAAGGTAGTTCCATTTCATAGCTAAAAATATCTGACAGATATATATAGATACTGCAACGACAGATACATTATGGGCGCGCGATTCTTCCATCTCTTTGTCACGGAGTAAGGGTATTAAAAGAGCCTCGTTTTGCAGCGTAAAGAACTGCAATTAGGAGAGCGATGTATTTAGGGGGGAATGGGTGATGGGCGATGGGCATGAGGCAGAGTCAGTCGGTGACTCTGATTACGCAATGGTAACACGGCTATGGCAACGGCAGAGTAGGGGCATGCCGCTCTGCCCCTCTCGACTGAAACTCTGACAACAAGAACATGTCTCCGTCTCTCTGTCTCCGTGAAAGTTTGCAAGATCCTCCCTTGGTGCGCCCTGTTTCTGCTCCCTGCTCTCATTCTCAAACAACAACAGAAAAAGTCGGCATTTAATTTGTTAAAAAGGCCAACTAAATGCAGGGGGAGGGGCAGTGCCAGTGGCAGAGGCAGCGGCACAACAGCAAACGTGCAACAAAGGGTCGCAGTTGCATTTTTCTTGAGTTTCTCCTCCTTTTAGGGGCATTTCTTGATTCTGTTATTTTTGTATTTATTTTTATTTTTTTTTTACTGTTTGGCCGTTTTTGTTTGGGTGGAAATTATGTACCCAAGAAATTAGTATACAAAAAAACTTTGCTGGCAACAGAACTTTTGTAAAATTCAATTTGAAATACATGCAACAAAGACAACAACAACAGCAGCAGCAGCAGCGGCAGAAGTAGAGGCGGGGCTCACAGCACACAAAAAAAAGAGACAGTCTCGGGGCACCAAAATGCAGCAGCAGCAGCAGCAGCTCAATGGCCAAACTGGACTGCACGATGGGCAATGTAGAGGAGACACTTGGCAGCAACAGCAGCAAAAGCAGCAGCAGATCCTTCTAGCAGCAGTAGGCAGGGGCTGGGGTGGTCACTGGGCACTTGGCACTTGGCGTCGCAATTGTTCGCGACTTTGCGCCTATGCATAAATATTTAATTAACTGCAGAGCATTATTTTAATTAGGTGTAAAAACTGCCAACAGAACAACACAGACAAGAGCAGCAGAGTTGGCGGGAGGGTAGAGGGTGTAGAGGGTCAAAGGTGGGGTTAATGGGTTCGCTTGGCATTTGCTAAAAGCATTTGTTTTGTTTTGTTTGGCTTTTTTTTTTTGTGAACTGTCAGCAACTGTGCAAATTGCCCCTCCCCTCCCCCGCCTGGCACCCTTCATTAGCATGATGTGTCCAAGAAATGCAAAGATGGAGGGAAAGTATCTCAAAGTGTGAGTATCTCAAGTGCAAGCAGATGCATGTGGAATGGTGCTTGAGGGGGGAGAGGAGGAGCGCTGCCTGGCTGCTCGCATGCGTTGCTGATCGTTCCTCTTTTTTTTCCTTGCATTGTCGTCGTCTTTCGTTGAATTGACCTCAATTTCGCAATCTGTAAAAATACAAAAAAAAATAATAAAAAAAAAAACAAAAAATAAAACCCCACACACACACACATACAGATACGGATACAGATACAGGCAATCTTTCAGCGCTAACTCAATCGCAAATATGCGAATTGCACAAGGCGGCAGTAAATAAGACAAACACACACACACACACAGCAAAAGCTACAGATACAAAGATACACACAGATATACAGAGAAAAACGGAGTCGTTCGGGATGCGCGTTGCGACGATCCAAGGCGAGTGAGACTTGACCCAATTTCTAGTGGAAGCAGCCCAACAGCAACAGCAGCAGCTCCCTTTGTTGGAGTTCCACTTGATAAGTGAAAATTTACAAAGCACACACAGATACAGTTACACACATGCCAGTGCTAAGATACAGATACACACAGAAAATGGGAATGGAGGGAGAGGGCTGGGAAGTGCAGAGAAAACTGGTATGCGTTGGCCCTGAACACACACATGGCGGGGGGGCATTGGGCATGGGCCATGGCAGCAGCTGAAAAACAGAAACAGAAATCGAATGAAATGTAAAGAGAAACAACAACAACAACAAAACTTACTTCAAATCGGGCGACAATTTGAAGGTTGTCTGGGCAGGCAGGCAGGCAGGCAGGCAGGCTCTTCTTCCTTTGCCAATGAATCATTTAATACATTCAATCCATACAATCCACTAAATATCACAAAACCCCCTACCATCTCTGTTTATCCACTATTTAGAGCACACCCTGCAAACATCCGGTTATACTGCTGCAGGATGTGAACTTCATGGATCTGCATTCGTTGGTGGAGTTCATATATCATGGCGAGGTCAATGTGCATCAGAAGTCACTGCAGTCCTTCCTCAAGACAGCCGAAGTGCTGCGTGTGTCAGGACTCACCCAACAGCAGGCAGAGGATACGCATAGCGTAAGTGCCAGCCAGGGGCCCCCCCTTAGCTGCCATGACATGAGACCCAAATTTAATACCCACCCCTCTCCACCTATTTGTCTCTGCAGCACCTGGCTCAAATACAGAACCTGGCCAATGCCGGCGTTCGTACACCGCTCAACACTCACGCCCATCCACATCCACACCATGGCCCGCTGCATGATGATGGTGGCGCCTCGACATTGTTTAGCCGCCAGGGAGCTGGCTCCCCACCGCCGCCACCACAGTCGCTGCCCTCGCATCTCAACAACCAGCTGCTGAAGCGCATGGCCATGATGCACCGCAGCAGCGCGGAGGAGACCTCGCACGCCCTCAAGCGTCTGCGTGGATCCGCCGATAATGGCCTGCCCCTGGGCAGTGGCAGCAACAACAACAGCCCGGACTTGCCGTCCATTCATGCGCGCAGCGCATCGCCACAGCAGACGCCGGCTGACTTTAGTACGATCAAGCACCACAATAACAACAACACACCGCCGCTAAAGGAAGAGAAACGTGAGTGATGGTGGTGCAGTGGCGGAATCTAACACACATCCTTGAGACCGAATCTAACTGGGATCCCCCCATCTATTGTTATATTTCAGGCAACGGACCCACTGGCAACGGAAACACTGGCAACAATGGCGCTAGCAATGGCAATGGCATCTCCATCAGCGATAAATTGGGCAGCCTCACACCCTCACCGCTGGCCCGTGCCGGCGCCGACGATCAGGTGAAGTCAGAGCCCATGGAGCTGGTGTGCTCCAATAACAATGCCAATCCCAATGATGAGCACAGCAATGACTCCACCGGCGAGCATGATGCCAATCGCTCCAGCAGCGGTGATGGTGGCAAGGGGTCCCTAAGGTAGGCATCCATCCCATCCCCCCCCAGCCTGATAAATCCAAATCTTAGAGACTAAATTGTGGTATTTTGTTGTTGTTGATCTTCTAGCTCTGGCAATGATGAGGAAATCGGTGACAGTCTCGCCTCACATCATGCGGCACCACAGTTCCTCATTTCGCCGGCAGAGAACAAAATGTTCCATCCAGCCGCCTTTAACTTCCCAATGAGCAATCTCGATCATTCAGCGTTGCTTGGTGCGTATTCGGTGCAAAGTCTCCTGCCACATCCTGACGACACTCCTAACACACTTTTCTTTCTCTCTTCCCTCTCTTTTTGCGCTCTCTCGTCTGCCGCCTGCCTCTTCTGCTTGTCTCTCTCTCTCTCTCGCTCTGTGTGTCCATTTGTCTACTGTCCCTCGATCAGGTCTCAACACACAATTGCAGCAGTCCGGTGATCTTGCCGTGTCCCCACAAGGTGAGTCCGAGCATTTCTCTATTTTTTGTACTTCTATTGTTTCGCTCTATTTGCGCTCAAAAGCTCATTATTACATTTTTTACATCAAATGCAAAAAATACAAAAAACAAAAAAAAAAATATTATAAAAATAATACCAGTAAAAGTACAGAAAAATACCAGTAAAAATACCAAAAAAAAAAAACCAAATGAAAAGCAAAGAAAAAGCAAAAAGAAAAGACAATTTTTCAAAAAAAAAAAAATCTGCCCAAAAAATGCTGAGAGATTTATTTAATGCCCGTACAAAAATTTGGTTGAAAATAATCTTTATTTGATCTTCAATTAAAAGTCATTGTTTTTTTGTTGTTGTCGTTTTCTTGTTTGAAAATTTTATTTTCATTGTTTTTTCTCTCGATTTTTTGTTTGAGTTTTCGAACTGACTTGAGAGGCAGTGTCATCCATGCATCCATTCTTTTGTATGTATGTATGAGTGTTGATCAGGAGCAGGACTTTTTTGATTTAACTTTCGATTTATACCGATTTATACCATTGGAGACGACCGATCGATCCATCCCCTGCCCGCCCCCCAAGACCGCGGCTCAACAACAACAAAAAAAAACTGTCGATTGAGAGAACCACTACTACTGTCCTTTTTAATTACCAACAAAAACCGTTTTTCAGTTTGTTTGCGATTCCAAAAAAATAATAATAATCAAATACCAAAACAAAACAAAAGTCGAGTTAAATGTCGTAGAAGCGTACAAATTTCTTTCTTGTTTGATTGTTTCGATGGTAAATGTTTTCATTTGTTTCGGTCACACACACAAGACACAACAAGAACCACGAAAATCACAAACCCCCAGAACGAGAAAAAAAATAATAAAAAATAATACCACAATTATCAAAAAAAATAAGAATGCAAAATGCAATTTAGATACACGGTTTTTTAGACGCAAGTTATTTATGTATGACAAAAACGCCATGCTGATATGTTAATAATGATTACGATGAACGATGATGCGTCACTCGTTACTCGTCACTCGTCAGTTGAATGTTGATGAACGCAGAAGGATAATTGCTAAGCAAACAAAATTCTAGACAAGTTCAGACAGAATAAACACCAAACAACAACGAGGACAAGCAACAGGCAACATCCACCCCCCTCGCCAAGTTTGTTTGATGAACTACACAAAATTAATTAACTCCATCTCCAACACCACCACGCCATGGGCCCGGAGGCCTGTTGCATAATGTATGCTGCGGTTAGGCCGCAGCCATCCGGAGAGGCCTCTCCCATCCGCAGATGCCTTTAAAGGTCCTGCGGCTTTTGCGGCTCAATTTGTTGATTGGTGTTTATTGCTTAGGGCAGAAAAACTAAGGAAACCCGTTTCAGATGAGCTCGCTTTTCCGGCTTTTCCATTCACGCGCCCGCGCTGAGATATCCAGATTCAGATCCAGATCAGAACTAATAAAAAAAAACACACACACTGCAACGACGAGATGAGAAATATATATATAGTTTCCGTGTATTTGTTGTGTTTAATTTCCCTTTTCCTCCCCGTTTTAACGTTCTACTCGTTTATTTTCGTTACAAATTTTCGTTGTTTTTTTTTTCTTTCTAATTTTTTGTTCATGTTTCCGTTTTGTTTTGTGTGCTAATTTTTTGTATTCGTAATGAAAACACCCCCCACGCCCCCGCCAAAAGTAAAAAATAATAAAAAACCAAGTCAAAGTCCAGCAAAATGTACTACAGCAACACGCAGCACTCACCCCGCCAACAAACACACACACACTCAATCACATATAGACACCCCACACCACACACACACATAGTCATAGACATAGACACATTGACACGGCCTTAGACACACCCCCACATACACAAACACACTTGCATATACATACAATACATAATTAGATATCAAAACATGAGATTAACACAGACAGAAAAGTACGAATTTTCAAGGTTCTGTTTTTAAACCCAATCCTGTATCCCCTTCTCTGTTGCCTCGTTTACGTTTGGTTCAATTATATTCCATTCCGTTCGTTTCCCCCCAGCCCTTTCTACTGCTTCGTTTACGTTCGTTTACTATTCTCTCAATGAGAGGGCACGCAAATGCTTTTCAGTTTAATTTTGATATAAATTATCATTTGAAAACCCTGTTCTATATGATCTTTATGTTTCTTTATGGTCTCTTGCGTTCCGTTCTGTACCATTGCGTTCCATTATGTTTCGTTCTGTAACGTTATGTTCCATTCCGTTTGTTGCCCTGAGCCTTAACCAAACCCCCCCAGAGACCACGAGAACACAAGACTCTCTCCCACAAGTGAGACTCCTTGATAATTTGATGAGGAGTCTCCGCACCACACACCCCGAGTACATTTTGCAAATAAAAATTTTATTGGTGTCAAACGTTTTTTAGTTTCCATTTGTAAAACGCAACGCATTTGAAGATCGAATATATATACAAATACTTACATAAATATATATATATATATTGAATATTGAACTCTTTCCTTTATTTGTACGTCGTCGTGCTTGTGTCTATAACTAAGTAAACCAAACCAAAATCAAACCCCCAAAACCCTCAAAAATCCAAACCCTCGAACCAAACCAAACCAAAACGAAACAAAATTTGAGCCCAACCCAAAAACCAACCCACGAAAAATGTCAAACAAAAATGTTTTTCGAATCGAATTTTCCATATTCATTTTCATTTTGTTTTAAATTATTAATTAAAGGGAAGGCGATTATATTCCCCATTCGAGATTTTCCCCTTCCATTGACCAAAAGACCCTCCCATCCGCACACACTCGACCAGAAATTGATATTGAAATTGGGCCCCCCCACATACAAGAGTGTTCTGTCGTGTCCTGTCGATCGTATCCAAAATTTGGCCCCTTATTTTTTGAGCACAACCCAACACTACAACAACAGCCCCCCACAAACACACACACACACACACACAGAATTTGAATACACACTGACCCCCTCCTCCACAAGTATCTCATTGAATACAAATACGAATACAGAAACGAGTGCGCACCCCAAGATTCTTTTAGTAGGCCTTCGTTCGTTCACCCCGGAAGGGAGCTGAAAGCCGCGTTAAGAGCAGCACATATTGGCATTTGTATACATACATAAGAAGGGGTTTAGCTCCTATCGAAAGAACCGAAAGAAAACCGCTCCATAACAAAAAGAAAATTAAAAGAAAATAAAACATAAACATGCGACACATACACATACAAAAAACCATTGCATACATACGAGCGCGCTACGTTTCGCGTCGTTTCCACCGTTCCATAGTAATACAGTTAACAAAAAAAAAAACCGTTCCACCTCGTACCAACGTTCCGCGTGTCACACGGCAGACCCATACTACAACGCAAAAATGGTTCCCACCCACAAAAACACACACACACGCACACCAATTAAACGAAACACACATGATCACGCCTACACCCACAGCACGCACGCACACAGGAACACACACGAGAGACAAACAACGCACACACACACACGCATACACACCCACACTCAATCGTGAGACCCAGCTAAACCACCCACACAAACACAGAAAAAAGAGAGAATAGAATATAATCTCTCTTGAAATCGAAGGAGTCAAAAATGCACACACTCTCACTTTCACACAAACACACACACACATCCCCGCCCACACACCCACACACACGCACACACATACATGAACTCTATTATGCGAAGAGAACAAAAAAAAACTAACCCTCAACAAATTGATCAACTAACGCTATTCTTTATTTACTTTCCAATTTTACTAACCGACCAAAATTTTTACAACAAATTTCTACCCCCCAAAAATAATCGTGAGACCCCCCTATACATATATATATCAACCTACCCACACACCCATATATATATATGTATATATATATATATATGAGACCAGTATATATATATACAAACTATTGTTAAGAATTGAATCGATCTAACCCCTCGTATACGTATATAAATCCGCTTTACTAAACATCCCCCAAAATTCCCCAACACCCAATGGATACAAAGATACAAAGCCACAGCCACAGCCGCCGCTTACAGGCGATCCTCCAAAAGCAGACAAATCGATACATGATACAATCACACACCAACCAACCACCCTCTTTCCCCCCGTTCTCCCACACACCACACAACCATCCAAAATGCCCGCCCAACCACAAAAAGAACTATACTGAGAGTTATGTCTCAACAAAAGGCTTCAAAGTATATACAAATTGATTGACAAAAACCGCTTTAAATTACGCTCTATATATACATACATATATATATATATATATATTTGTTGCTCCTATTTATTATACATGAACACAACACACACACAAACAAACAAAAAAAAAAACACAAATCATGAAGAGAATAGTTATCTAGATTACGCCTAGAATATACAACAATACATAAATTGTGTATGCCTTTAGTTTAATTCCCATGCGAACAGCATTCAAAATTCACTAATTTTAAGTTCCACAATTGGTGACCCCGACAAAAAACCCACTTAACAACTGAAAATATGTATCCAACACCTATTAAAAAGTATTTAAGTTATCTCCTAAGCACACACAAATTGAACGAATTTGAACCATATGGAAGAACACATGATCCTCGTTCCTTTGCTGGCTATGGTGGATGGGGGGGGGGGGCTGGCTATGGAATCGGAAGTGCGTGGAAGTCCCGCTAATGGGAAACACAGAGTAGAAAGGGTGGAATGGGAAGAGCACAAATTAAAAAGAATATGAGTACAAACAGAATAGAAAATATAAGGAAAAGAAACGAAAAAAATATCGTGAAAAACAGAAATATAAAAAATGAATAGTAAAATAGAAAAAGAAAAAAAAAATTAAATTATTAGTGCAGAGTGCAGAGAAAGCGGATAAAAAGAGTGAGAGTAGCAATGCTAAAGGATACTGTCAAACTGGAAATATTTAGTGGCATAATTCATCCAATTAGGAACTCTTAGCATTGGGCAGAGTTGTATTGAAAATGGAAAACTTACTTGAACCAAAACCATCATAAATGCAGCCGAAATAGAATATCGATACAATTCCTCTCCACCCCCCAGCCTTCTACAGCCACACAAAAATAAAAAACTGCAAAGAAACAAAAAAAAACAAGAACTGTACCAAAAAATAACAACAACAAACAAAAAATACAACAACAAATGTAAACAAAATCTAAGCACAATGTAAATTTAAAACAAAATTCTGCTAACATTGAATAAGAAACAGAAACAAAAACGAATTTGAATTTGAGATTGAATTTGATATTACGCAAAAAAGACGTATCATTAAGATCCAGGAAGAAAGAGAGAACACGATGGATAATTTGGCAAGGGTTTATTTTTAGTGCTTTTTAAGTGACACACCCAAACACACACACGCCCGTCCCCCCAACACATACACACACACACACTCGTGCAGAATGAGAGAGAGAGAACACACACACCGGGTACGGCAAGAGGACACTTACACGAACAACAACAGGAATACAATGGAAAACCTTCTTTGGTGATGGTGTTTTTTTAAACACAAACACACACACACACACCCACACACGCATACAGAGACACTCAAACACACACACACACAATATACAGACTCTTCTCTCTGCTCCCTTCTCACGTTTGAAATTGAAATGCTCCTCCAAACTGCCCTACCCACCTACCTACCAACCACCCCCTACTTTTTGTATATTACCCACACACCAACACCACCGCACACTATGGTAATGAGTGAAAAAACAACAACCACAACAACAACAACAAAAAAACCCACCCAAAAAACCAACAAAAATTCAACCAACCAAAAAAAAAACCAAAAATTTCCCCCAACAAAATTTTGCACATGTTGAGTATCGGTAGTCTTTCCATAAATATCGAACCAGTCGAGATATTTCGAAACGAAAGAAGGCAAAAGCTGCAAGAGAACGAACAGTCACAGTCGCAGTCGTAAAAGTAACATTCGCAGTAACAGGAAACAGAAAATATCAATTTTGAGATTGAAACTGAAACGTCCGACGAACAATCAAAAAAGAAATTAAACTTCTCCACATTTACCACCTCAGCCCAGCGACAGAATGAATCCGAGGATTCATTTGGTTTTCTTTTCCATACCATGACGCCCATATCCCCATCCCGAGTCCCATTCCCCCCACTGATATCCATCTGCCATCTGTCTATATCTCTATATATCTCTGGCACTGTCACTGTCATGCACTGACCCCTTGCACCCACCCCAACCAGCCAGAACAGAATATAGTTATATATAGAAACTGAAAGAAAGAAACCAGATTGAACAATCGAAACGTAAATCCAAAGTTAAATTCAACAAATTCTGAGCAACTGAGAAACAACTTACATGAAACAACAACAAAAATTACCATATATTTGATGCAAAAAATGCTAAACCAAAATTCCATTTACTGATACACAAAAAAAAAAACATCCGGCTAAAATCCCTACCACCAAAAAAAAAAGAAGCAAAGCAAGGCAAAATCCAAATCCAAATCAAATGAGAAATCACGCAAAATTGAAACAAAAAATGCAAATTCAATTCAATAAAAAAAAAAAACTCGTTGTCCTTGGGCTAATGCGACGTTTTCTGACTTTCTTCCCCAAAACTTGTCGTCAGGTAATCTGACGACAAATGCTACAACTACAACTACAACTAAAAACAACTACTACAACAACAACAACCACGCTTACTCCCAACAAACAAACAACAACAACAACTCAACAACAACTCCATCACCAACAACAACTAAAACTACAAACCGAACAGCAATCACAAATGCCCCTGGCATCTGTGGCCTTAACCTCTCCACATTCGCAGCCAACGGAAGCAGCGGTGGTAGCGGCAGCAACGGTGGCCTCTCAGTGACCGCACTCTTGCCCCAGCAACAGCAACAGCAGCAGCAACACCAACAGCAGCATCAACAGCAACAGCAGCAACACCAACAGCAGCAGCAACACCAACAACAGCAGCAGCAGCAGGCCAACAATTCAGGCCGCCAGACACCGAATGGTATACTGGCCTGCAGCACACCCACAGCGAATACGCCCACAACGGCCCAACAGCAGATGTTTGCCGCCGTGATGGCCAATATGGCGGCCACGGCCAGTGCCACAGCGGCAGCAACGAGCGCCAGCAGCGGCAATAGCGGTGGTGGTGGTAATCTGAACAACTCAACGAGCGGTGGCATAAACACTTCAGGGGGCAGCCTGAACAATGCGCAAAGCGGCGGTGATGACTTCCGTTGCAATCCGTGCAACAAGAACCTGAGCTCCCTGACACGCCTCAAGCGACACATCCAGAACGTGCATATGCGCCCCACCAAGGAGCCGGTGTGCAACATCTGTAAGCGGGTGTACAGCTCACTGAACAGCCTGCGCAACCACAAGAGCATCTACCATCGCAACCTAAAGCAACCTAAGGCAGAGCCGAATGCCGTTGCCGTTGCGCAGACGCCGGGCAATAGCTACTACCATCAACAGCAACAGCAGCAGCATCAGCAGCTGAATCATCACTCCTCCTCATAGGGTTTCATGTACTTTGACTACCATCAGCAACAGCAACAGCAGCAGCACCACCACCAGCAGCATCAGCACCGCCATCGTCAACTGCACCACCACCTGGCCAGCGCAAACTTCACCTCAAGCTGAGGGCCGCCTTGATATTAGGAATGTGTTTTTTGTTAAGTTTGCCCCCCCCAACGATTTGTTCCCCTAATTTCTAAGTCCGAAGAAGCCCCAAGAGAAACCCCCAAATCCCCTACAATCCATAAGCGATTCAAACGATTGCATTTGAATATTCTGAACATTGCACATTGAATATTGAATAATCTACATCAGAATACTTACATACATACATAGATTCATAAGCCACATAAACACACACACACACTCACACACAAATACACACAAAAATACTTTAAAGAAGAGAATGAGAGGAGAGAAAATGGTGCTTTTTAAAATAAAGAAAAAAAAAAATGGAAGAAATATAAAAAAGAGAAGAAGAAGGTAGGCAGAGAACACAGAACACAGAACACAGATAACTAAAGATAGATACAAGAACAGGAGAACAGAAAAAGTTTGAAACAAAATAGAAATGAAGGAAGAGTCAAGAGTACAGCAGAGAACAGACGAGAGCACACGACTTAGGCTAGTTACGAATTAGAAGTTGCCTTTTTGGTAGTTTGCTAAGCACACACAGACAAACACACACACACACACAAGGATACACAGTTTATACTGCAAATCGATAAGTACTATTAGTAGTTGTTGCCCTCCCCTGAACCCCTTTTTCAACACACTCTCTTCTTGTTAGCTATATATAATCTTTATAACCCTTAATGAAAGAAGGAAGCAAGCAAGGAAGGAAGGATGAATGTTGTAGTGTAGAGCCCAAGGCAGAGAGGTGTGTGCCCCGTAGTGAATTCTTCGAAATGGCTTTAACTAAATAGAATTTAAACCAATAAAATAAAAAAATAAAGAAAAATTAACAAAAAAAAAAAAAAAAAAAACAAAAGGAGGATAAAACTTTGGAAAGGATGGATAAAAGAAAATAAAGGATAATGATGTTACGATTTATTAACTCTCTTTTTACACTTAAAATAAAGACCAAGATACAGTGTTTTTTTTTTTACACTTAAATCTACATAAAAAATATAAATATATATATATAATGTTGAAGAGTTGAAGAGTTATAGAGTATATATACACACAGATGCACACACACACATGCATGTATGAGTGGGAGAAACGCCGAGCGATAGGAAGAGCGACCGACCGAACGACCGACCAATTGCAAAGATCTTTACGATAATAAACTAAATATAATTAACAGATTTTCTGAATAGTTTAGGGTTTAAGAAGATCACACATACATACACACAAACACACACACACAAACACACACACACAAACACACACACACACACACACGCACACGAATCACGATGCATATGAATATATTTAAGGAAAAAAAAAACAAAACAAACAAATGTGTTTAACTTTAGTACTAAATAATATTTTTTTTTTTCTCCAATTTTTTGTGTTTTTTGTAATCCGTAAGTTATACGAATATTAATTAAATATTTTGACCGGATACTTTTCAAGAGTACACCTGTGTTCGTTAATTATTAGAATTTGCATAAGAGTTGAAAGGTAAACAAGAATGATACGAGATACAACCAACCCATAACCATATATACCATATACCATATAATATAAAATACCAGCCCATATCCGTAAGCTTAAGATCTACCTATGAAACAAGCAACAACAAAAAGCAAAATTGCAATAAATAAAAATCCATATATGTATAAATACGAAGCGATTACTGCGGTAAACACTGTGCGATTGAAGACCACAAAACCCACTTACGATTCTATACAATTCATGAATTAATTACAAATAAAAGTATACACATGAAGAGGGAAATATTTCATTTACCAAAACAACAACAACAACATCATGAGATCGATTGATTGTCCTCCGATTTGAGGCAACCCACCCCCTCCCCCAATCATTCTATTCACTATACTCACTATACTCGCTCTATTCACTAATACACTCCACTACACTCACTCTATTCACTACTGTACTCCACTCTCCATTCACTCCATAAACTCCACCTCCACTCAGTGTTGTATGCATGTCAATCGAGGCGTCAACCCCCTTACCAAACCCCCCCAACCACCCAATTGTGAAACAGAAGAATAAATCGAATTGATGATCCCCCCACTAGTACTCTCTCTCTCTCTCTATTTCTCTCTGTCTTACTCTCTGGTTATATTCTCATCATAACATTCCCATACAAACATACATACATACATACGATACATACATATTTACACTTATAGCTAGAGAAGATGGTGCAAGATTTTTGGCTCTGTCTCGTGTCTCCTGTCTACTGTCTACGTTGTTTCGTACTTGCGTATGTGTGTGTTCCGAACTGAATCGAACTGAACTACCCCCTCCACCCAACCCCAAGTCCAACCACACCAAACATGCAGTTCCCCCCCCACATACACACCTACATTACATACCTATACCTATACATACAGACAGTCCTGAGATAACTCGTATGAAAGGGCAGCGCAAAAACATTTACCCTCCTCCATTTACTTTAAGCACCCCCTGAAAGAAATAAAACAACAAGAAAAAACCACAACAATTACAATAACTAATACTAATACTTATCCCACAAACCCCCCACTCCTGAACGTCTCCTTACCCCTCGAAGACCACCAACCCCCCCAACCACACCATCATCAGCAGGCCAGCAGCAGCCGTTTAAAAAAATGCTAAGTATCTGAAACTAAGAGAAAGCCCCCGACCCAGGCCCCACAGCCCCTAAACACCTACCCCCACCTCGCACTCACACACACAAACACACAAAAACCAATTCGATGAAGCCTCCTACACTAAGTGTGACCCCTGACCCCACAACTACCCCCTAACCCTTATCCCTAGCACGTTTTGGTTCGTTTTTAACCAATCTCCCACCAAACCGTACCCAGCAAACCCTCCCCCCCACCCCCTTACCAAATCCAAACCAAAGCCAAACCCAACAGGCAAACGGTGCTGCGATTGAGTTTGAAAAAAAAGAGACACTAGTGACAAAAAACCGCAAGAAAAAAAATTGACAACTTGCAACCACAAAAGAAAGCAAGAAAAAAAAAAAAAAACTAAAAATAACCCAAAAAAGAGAACAAAATCAAAAATAATACTAAAAACATTTTTATACATACAACAAATCAATCAGGCCAAAAACAAATGTTTCAAAATTTTGCTAAACAAAAATAACTTAACAAACAATTGAGAAAATTCAAAGAAAATTGAGATCGAATTGAAAAAATCGAAATCGAACAAAAATTGGTTTTAAAAAGCATCCACGAAATTATCGATATTCACACACCCAATTGGTTACAACCACCACCAAAATTACAGAAAAAAAAACAAGTTACCAAAAAACGTTATTTGTTTGCCACAAAAATGGCAGTGTGTGGCAGGTGGCAGTGGCAGCGGCAGCTGGTCTGCAGCTGCAACTGCCATCAGCAGTCCAGAAATCGAGAGTCGTCGCAAGGCAATCTCGAAATCCAAAAATCCGAATCGAAGCGAAACTTGCCGCAAGTTGAGCTCTTCAGAAGAACCTTTCCAATTCGTATTTGAACAATCAACAAATCACAAAAAAACTAGCCACAGCCAAAAACAGCCAACAACCACAAACAGTCAAAAAAAAAAAAAAAACCGTTTTTATTCCCATTTTATTTCTATGTGTTTTTGTCCCACAATTTTGGGAACCCAGAAAAAGAAACAACCAAAAATTCGAAAATCGAAAATGCGAAATTGCAAACCGAATCTGAAATTTGAATCGAAATATCAGCACAGCGTTTTTTGAACAAATTCCTTCGTTAAAATCGAAAAACCATTCGAAGAATGAGCGAGCTCCACACTTCGCAAAACGAGAGAAACATAAAAGAGAGAACAAGCGAAAGTACAAGTAAAAGAAAGGAAAACAAAAACCAATGTTAGCAAAAAAAAAAAAAAAATAAATAAATAAAAAAAAAAATTAGCAAAAATTTTACATTGTTTTGAGCCTGGATTTGTTAGTGTTATAAAAGTAAACAAAGAAACAAACAAACAAAAACAAACAGAAAACAGAAACACAGACAAGAAAAACAAGCACAGAAACAGAAACTTAGACAACAAACACAGACCAACTAATACATAAAAAAACAAACCGAACACACACACACACAAAACATTCAAACACTGGAACACACACACTGACAGATTAAACACCAAAATAGACACCAAAACAGACGCCAAAACAGACACTAAAACAGACACCAAAACAGACACCAAAACAGACGCCAAAACAGACACCAAGCAGACACCGAAACAGACACCAAAACAGAAACTAAAACAGACATTTAAACACCCACAAAACAGAGAGACAAAACTAAACGAAACAACAAACAAATACGAAACAAATACAAAAGAAAAACCAAACAAAAAAAAACAAAAACAAAAAAAATAAATAACAACAAAGTCAATTATACAGAAAAGTCACTATTGTCTCTTTTTTTCTTCTCTTCCCTCTATATGACCGTGTTTAGGTGGCAGCACCGGTGGTGGCAGCCTACTCGGCGGCGTCATAGTGCCCGGCGGTAGTGGCAATCCTTCTAGTAATAGTAGTAGCAACAACCAACAACAACAAGTAGACCAACAACAATCATCACAACAACAACAACACCACCTCCTCCAACAACAACAACAACAACATCATTCCACACAACATAATCCACAACAACAACAGCAACAACAACAACAGCATCTGCAGCAGCAACAGCAACAGCAACAACATTTGAAACAAGAACAACAGCACCAACAGCGCAACAGCAGCAGCGGTGGCTGCAGCAGCAAGCTGCTTGCCCACGAAAGGGAAAGCCTGTCCCGTTCCTCGCATGGCGGTGCCACAGATGGGCATGTGGGCACACCCTCGCCCTCACCCCAGGCCTACCACAAGCGGGAGAGAGAGCGCGAGCGGGAGCGTGAGCGAGAGAGGGAACGTGAGCGGGAGCGCGAGCGCGAGCGATCGATCGACCGTGAGCGGGACATTGAGCCGCCGGGCACAGGATCAGGACCATCATCGCCGCCACTACCACCGCCGCCCTCGCATCATTCGCATTTCGGACAGCATCCACTATCGCTGCTGCCCAGCCACCATCAGTTGCATGCCACGCACCACGAGTTGACCGCCGCCGCCCACCATGCCCATGCACATGCGCACGCTGCCCATGCCCATGCCCTGGCGAGGGCAGGATCACCGCTAGAGCATCACCACTTGCTGCACCACCGACGCGCCTCGCTGTCTCCATCGGCTGCCGCCGGCAGCAGCGGTGGCGGTCGTGGCTCGGCCG